CCAGGTCTCTGAACTCCTCTGTGTACTCGGCCACCAGGCGATGACCTTGCCTCATTGTTTTGACGAGTTCTCTGGCTTTTTGGTCAGCTAGAAGTCCTTGAATCTCCACCTCAAAGCTGCCATGAGCTGCCATGAAGTTTTGGAGCTTGGGAGTGTGTTATGCAGGGTCACCATCCACCGAGCAGCTGCCCCCTCCAGAGCCATGGTCACTGCTCTGACCCGTCTGCTGTCACTGGGGATGTCTCGGCTGTATTCCTCCATGTAGCTCAGGCCATGGGCTAGGAAAAATCCTAGCTGTTGGGGCACCCTGTCATACTTCACACCAAGAATGGCACCTTCTGGTCGGGCTGGTGGGTCCTCCTCCATCTGGCTCTGTGCCCGTCTCCCCCAGCTGTGGTGGCTCGTGTTGGGGCTGCGGCTCCGGCCATCGCTTCTGAGGCGCTGGTGGAGGGACCAGGATTTGCCAGCTCACCCTCTCTGAATTTTTCCTCTTCCAGTCTCAGCACCTCTGAGCCCTGGCAGAGGTCTGCTTCTTCATCTTTAAGGCTTTTGAACATTTCTACCATCAGACTTATGGCTTGTTTAAGGAAGCGATCAGACCAGGTTGGTCTCTTATCTTCCTCTTTGCTGAGGTTGAGTGATATCTCCATCTCTCACTTCCATCCTGGTTGATAGCTGCCTCGTTTGAGGATTACCTTTCTGGCTTCCGCTTGCCATTCTTCCTTTTTTCCCATGCCAATCTACCATCTCGGCTTTTCCCAATCCTCCCTGGTCATGGCTTCATCGGATGAGCTGAAGGAATCTGAGCTGCTGCCACTCAGGCCAACCTCGGGGGGAGCTTCCCCGCAAAGTTTGCTTTCCCCTTTCTCACTGCCGTGGTTCGACATCGCTTTGCATAGTTCCCACGGTAGGGGTTTTCCCTCCAGGCTGACCACTTTGCAGATCCTGCCTAATGTAAGGAACTGCCTCAATTAAGCCTCCCAAGAAAGCAGAACTTTTGAAACAAATATCATTTCAAAAGGAACTTTTATTGGAAGGTGTTGACAGCAGTAGTAGAAGGCAGGATCTGAGGATTTCCCATGTTGTGGGAACGGAGCGATAAGGCGCCACTTCCAAGGCTGTTAGGTCTCCACGTTTCTTCTCTGCGCCTGGAGATAAGGCAGATGGCCGGAGGCACATTCCGTTCTCACCCTGAAGAAGAAACATCAAAGAGGATAGAGCAAAGGAAATACACAAAGCAAAAGAAATACACTGTAGCAACTCCGAGCTCCCCCTCCCCCCAGAGGAATGGCAGAATCCGAAAGAGAACAGAAATCCTAATGCCCATAGAAAGACAGGGTTCTGACAATAACAAAGAACAGCATTTTTCATTTGCGTGAAAAATACAGGTAGTCCTCAACTTACAACTGTTTGTTTAATGATAATTTAAAGTTACAACAGCCTCAGAAAAAGTAAAATACAACATATGCTCACATTTATGACTGTTGCACCACCCCACAATCACTTGATCACAATTGGGTACTTGGTAACTAGCTCATATTTCTGACCGGTGATCTGTGGTTATGTGCTAACAGTTTATGACCTTTTTGTAAATTTCTAGTGAAAATTGTCCATTGGAGAAACTGGATTTGTTAAACAGCCATAGTGATTTGCCTAATGACCACTATAAAAATTGCCCCAAAATCGAGTTCAACTCAATTTACTACCACAACAACTTACAATGGAAATTCCATCCCAATTGTAGTCATAAGTCGAGGACTACCTGTAGAGTAATCTAAAAGTTCTACCAAAGTAAAATTGAAAGCATCATATGATTGAAGCTTTAAAAGATCACTTTTTCCAAAAGAGGAAAAATCCAATTTGGGTGTAAATTTGATTTAGGTGTGAAAATAGTCTTTATTACCCTAAAGGCTGAGGAGAAGAAAGAAGAAATTGATGACTCAGTGATTTTTAGCTAATCATAAGATAGGTAGTCCTTGAATTAGGACGACAAGTGAGCCTAATATTTATGTTGCTAAGCAAGTTTTGCCCCATTTTATGACCTTTCTTGCCACAGTTATTAAATGAATAGTAACATGGATGTTAAATTAATCTGGCTTCCCAACTGACTTTGCTTGTCAGAAGTTAGCAAAAGGTGATCACATAACCCTGGGACACTGCAACCGTCATAAAAATATGCCAGTTGTCAAGCATTTAAATTTTGATCACATGACCATGGGTTGTAAGTGTGAAAAATGGTCATGTCACTTTTTTCAATGTCATTGTAACTTCAAACAGTCACTAAATGAATGGTTTTAAGTCCAGAACTACTTATGTCTACAAGTGCTTGAAGGAGATGGGAATTGAAGGCACCACCTTTGAGTAATGTCATTCCTATTTCTTTGATTACTATCAGAAAATTGTACATAATTAAGTTTTCTCTGCAGTGCAGATTGTCTATGGATTAATCTATCACTGGTGATAATGTGCTATAATTTATGAAGAGGCAAAACATATAACTTTTACCCCATGTTTTAAATTTTTATGATGGTTTTTTTAATAGTTTGAATTAGTAGATTGTATTTTATTGCCTGTACTATATATTTAATAGAATAGAGCTGGAAGGGACCTTGGAGGTCTTCTAGTTCAGCCCCCCACTTAAGCAGGAGAACCTACAGGATCTCAGACAGCTGATTGTCTAGTCTTTTCTTAAAGATCTCCAGTGATGGGGCACCCACAATTTCTGGGGGTAAACTGTTCCAATGGTTGATTGTCCTCACTGTCAGGAAGTTTCTCCTTAGTTCCAGGTTGCTTCTCTCTTTGGTCAGTTTCCAACCATTGTTTCTTGTCCTTCCCTCTGATGCTCTGGTGAACAACCTGGCCCCTTTTGCCTTGTGGCAGCCCCTCAAATACTGAAACACTGCTATCATGTCTCCCCCATTTCTTCTTTTCTTTAGACTAGACAAACCCAAGTCTCGCAGCCTCCAGGCCTTTGATCAACTTAATTGTTCTTCTCTGAATTTTTTCTAAACTCTCAAAATCTTTTTTGTGGTATGGTGACCAAAATTGACTGCAGTATTCCAGGTGTGGTCTTACTAGGGCTTTGTAAACAACTTAGTGCCATTTTTTTCCACAGAAAAATGGGATATAAGAATTGCTAAGTCTGACACCAAGCTGGGGGAATTGCTAACACTAGCAAAGATGGGCTCAAGATCTCAAAGGATCTTGACAGACTTGAATTCTAGTTCTTAGCCACCATTGATTTATAAGGCATCCCCTGGCTCTTCTTAAATTCTGAGAATAAGCTTTCTATGGGATCCATGTCTATCTAGGCACACTGAAATAAATATCATATAAATCTGATAAAATAAGAAACAAATCTTTTGACAAATTGGAAGACAGATTCTTGTAAACAATGTTTTTTTTTTAAGGGAATAGTGAGCAATTTGTACTTCCCCAATAGCTTTTTGTGGAGCCCCAGCTACTCTGATAGACCCAAAGCACTATTTTTCCATCATTATGAGGTGGAAATGCATGAATATATAATGTAAATGTAAGGGCCCACTTCAATCCCACATCTTAAGAAAGCAGAACTCTTGGAAACAATTTCTTCCAATAGGAACTTTTATTAAGAGTAGTTGATAGCAGGCATAATAGACAGGATCTGAGAGATTTCTTTACAGATCGATATTTTAAAGTGTCCCTAAGCCAGTGGTTCTCAACCTGTGGGTCGGGACCTCATTTGGGGTCGATCGACCATTTTATGGGGGTCGCCAAGCAAGGCTGTCCGCCATTTTTTTCCCCTTTTCCGGCGGGTGCCTTACCTCCCTTGGGCTGGGCCAGCTGGTGGTCGACCTGCTCCGTCTCTGCCACTTGCCAGCTACGCCTCGGCCAGTGCAGGGGGCGGAACCACGCATGTGCGGCGCTCCCGGGCAGGGAAAGTCCTCGACTTACGACCGGTTGGGTAGTCCTTGACTTACGACCGGTTTAGTCCTCGACTTACGACCGGTTTAGTCCTCGACTTATGACCGGTTTAGTCCTCGACTTATGACCGGTTGGGGTCGCGGCATTAAAAAGGTTGAGAACCACTGCCCTAAGCAAACCCCATCCCACAGTTCATCTGGATGGTTCAGACTGGCCAATCCCCAGGTGTTAAGTCCATTGTGGGAAAGGGGAGATAACATCGATCCGGCTCCGGTTATAGCACAATATTCAATCAGCTCTTCGCACTTCCTTTTGAGACCAGAGAAATAAGCCAGGCTCTGAAGGTTTGTATTTCTCCCCCCCCCTCTTTTCCTAACTGCCAGGTTAGGGAGAAGAAAGTTCAGAGAGATGCATAGTGCAGGAGGCAATTTGTTACATTGTAATGGGCAGCAGACACAGAGGCAATAAACAAAAGGTTACATTGTACCAAATAGAGGAAATGAAAGCAATAACCCCACAGGCATATCCCCCCTCCCCCTTGGGAGTATGGCAGAACCCAGGGGAAGATGAGATTTGGTTTTAGATCAGAGGAGATAGATAGAAATGAAATATAAATGGGTTCTTACATCAGTCCTAAAATCAGATTAACTTAACTAGAAAACAAAAATTCCCAAAACCTGGAGACAAAATAATGCCTTTTGTCCCTGGTTTGTATTAAATTCCCATTCAATTTGGAGCACTCCATTAATTGTAAATCTCTCTCCAAATATTAAGGGTGGGCTAAGGTTATCTGTTGTCAAAATACTCAGTCTTCTTCTACAGAGTACAATTACAATTCTGAAAATGGAGGTGCCCAGAATAAAACTGTAATCTTCATACAAATGATAATAAATCATTGAATATTTAACATATGGAAGCACTATGAGACAATTTTATTTCACTTTAACCTATTGTGAGAATAAAAATATTTACAATGTGGGGGTCTGGGCTATTTAGCAACAGTAACAAAAATAAATATAGTATTTGAAACAGAACTATGGTAACCAGGTAATTTGAAAATGGAGTTTTCTACTAATGTGTATCTGTTCTTTTTACAGGCTCCACTCTTCAAATGAAACATCTTGGTATTCTGGCAGAGTAATTTTTTGTCTGGATTACATTATTTTTACTTTAAGATTAATCCATATTTTCACAGTAAGCAGAAATCTTGGCCCAAAGATAATTATGCTTCAGCGGATGGTAAGGCATAAATTTAATTCAAGATGAGGTGTGTGTGTAATTCCAACAAATTCAATATGTTTAAGAGAAACTTAAACCCTGCAGACCTTTAGAAATGTATTTAAGTCCAGTCTTTTTCCCAGACACATACTGTATATATGTAGCATTTGATGCTGGTTAAACCATAAAAAAATTCTTTCTCATCTGTATATTCTTCAGACTTGGGTCTTCTATCAGAGGCCTAGGATTTTGAAGGTTCTGCACAGTATCCTAACTGTTCCCAGCACTGCACTCCTTTGGACAGAGTTCTGGTGTTGTTCCTGAGATTTGATGGACCTACTCTACCAGCTTAGGAGTCACAGCCCCATATGCTTCTACTAGAATAGGGGCCACTTTGGCTTTTACTTTCCACATCCTCTTCAGTTCCTCCTTCAGGCCCTGGAACTTCTTCAGTTTTTCATACTCCTTCTTCCTGATATTGCTGTCCTTTGGCATCACTACATCTATCACCACTGCTGTCTTCTGGTTCTTGTCTTCTGGTTCTTGTCTATTACTAATTGGCTAGTACAGATAGTCCCTGAGGTACGAGCCTAATAGAGCCTGCCCATTAGGCTCGTAATCGTCAAATGAATCAGACTCAATATTACAACATTTTAAAATCAAACTCATTAATTGACTCAAATGTGTTGTTAAATGAATGAAGATTTGACTTATTATTTCCTCTGATGGTTGCCTGAATTGAGATACTTTTCCCCACCACTGCTGCAGGCTGTTTCTAGCCCCAAATCAGCTGTTTCAGGTTTCAGGAACTATGGTATTGTAAATTGCCTCCCAAGCAGGCAGCAGGCTTTTTAAAAAAAACAACAATTGTTGCTAGGCAGCTCAAGCTTCTTCAGAGGGGGAGGAGAACTCTCCAAATTGCAGTTGCCACTAAAGTAAGTATCTTTAGCTTAAGCGTCTCCAGGCAAGCATGCAGCGGGAGATGGAGGTGAAGTTTACAGAACTGTCGACTTGCAACAGTAAATGAGATGAAATGCACCTTGAGGTCATCTAGTCTAACCCACTGCTCTCACAAGAGACAGTACTGTACTGTACTGTATTTCTGATAAATGCCTATCCAGTCTCTTCTTAAAAGCCTCTAGTGAGGGAACACTCACAACCTCTGGAGGCAATTTAAATTTAAAACCTTAAAAAAAAAACACTGCCCCTGATCAGCACAAGCCTCTCTAGGCAAAATCCAAAATGGGATGAGGGGATTTCCTTCCATTAAGACGTCAGCAGAATCTCTGGTGTGTCTGTGCTAGGGAGAGGAGGCAGCAGCAGCCACATGCTATAAGTTTCAGGCAAATGCAAATGCAATCTTGCAAAGTACTGTACTTACAAACACAATAAAAAGCAGAGCAGTTTCCAAAGTGATTACAAACAATACAGTGCAGTACTATACAGTAACAAAAAAGAATATTTTAAAATACTTACAGAAGTAATTCTAGCTCTCTACAGTACAGTACTGTAGTCCTCAAGCCTAGCAAGCAGCAGATTTTCCACGCAGCTCCAGGAAACGGTCGGTGCCGGCTGCAAAAATCACCGGATCTTATTTGGCCATGTGACCAGGCACAAACAAAAACAAACCACTTCCGGCTTTTCGTACCCGAATAGGCTTAGACAAGTCATAGAGTGACTGAGTCCAGGTCACATGGCTACAGAGGCCTGTTTTTGATTGCAATTTTGAATTTCTAATGTAAGTACCCTTTCTGAATAACCTCATTTTTGTGAAATCTTGCTAAATAAACGCTTGTACCTGCCTGCCTATCCCGATCTGAAAGTCCCACAGTATCTTAGCTACTTATTCTTCATGATTTTCTGTGGAATCCCTCATCTGGACCTGGGAGGATTTAACCCATATTCTAATGCATTTGTTGCTGTACTCAGTGCCAGATATTTAGTTGAGAATCAATACCTGGAAAGATCCTGGAAAAGATTCTGGAAAAGATAACCAAAAGACAGATCTGTGAACAACTAAAAGCAAACAAAGTTATAACTAGCAGCCAGCATGAGTTTGTTAAAAACAGACCATGCCAAACCAATCTTATTTCATTCTTTGATAAAGTGACTAAATTAGTAGACCAGCGAAACACTGTGGACATAGTATACTTAGATTTCAGTAAGGCATTTGACAAAGTAGACCACAACCTGCTGCTTAGTAAGCTAGAAAAAGGTGGAATAGACAACATCACCACCAGATGGATCCATAGCTCGCTGACTACTCAGCGAGTAGTCCTCAGTGGAACTACACCCACATGGAGAGATGTAAGCAGTGGGGTACCACAAGGCTCTGTCTTAGGCCCAGTACTCTTTAATATCTTCACATATAACTTAGATGAGGGAATAGAAGGGGAACTCATCAAATTTGTAGATGACACTAAACTGGTAGGAATAGCCAACATCCCAGAAGACAAGCTCAGGATCCAAAAAGATCTTGACAAACCTGAACAATGGGCCCTATGCAACAGAATAAATTTAATGTGGAGAAAAGCAAAGTTTTACATTTAGGCAGGAAAAATCAAAGGTGTAAGTACATATTAGGTGAGACCTGGCTCAAAAACAGTTACTGTGAGAGGGAGCTTGGAGTCCTAGTGGACGATCACTTGACTATGAGCCAACAGTGTTCAGCAGCAGCTAAAAAAACTAATACAATCCTGGGCTGTATAAACAGGGGTATAGAATCAAGATCACACAAAGTATTAATACTGATTTATAAAACCATAGTATGACCACACCTGGAATACTGCAACCAATTTTGGTCACCATAGTACAAAAGGGATGTTGAGATGTTGGAAAAGGTTCAGAGAAGAGCAACTAAAATGATTAAAGGCCTGGAGACTAAAACATATGAAGAACAGCTGCAGGACTTGGGTTTGGCTAGTCTAAAGAAAAGAAGAAGCTATGAATGCTCCAACACTGAAGTCTTTAAGAAGAGATTGGACAGCTATTTGTCTGAAATGGTATAGGGTTTCCTGCCTGAGCAGGGGATTGGATTAGATGACCTCCAAGGTCTCTTCCAACTTTATTCTTATTATTATTCTTATTATTATTTTTTAATTTTTAAAA